ATACAGGGTGGCTGATATGTATTGCAACCAATTTTAGAACGCTATCATTTCTAAACCGCTCATCAGACAGATGACAGATTTATTAGAGTAATTGTTCATTTAGTTTTTCACAAGCGTACAAAAGCATTTCGACCTATTGCATTAAAAAAAAAAAAGTTATTCGTGCTGGAAGTTAAGCGTGATAGTGCGATTGCTTCATATTTAGCTGGAAAACCTTAAGTGGCTATCTTTAGAGCCCTCCAGCATTTAAATGCGAACAAATATTTTGTTTCTCGTACCATATCTCGTAACCGTGATACACTCAGTGTTACACCGCGTTTAAAAAGTGGACGAAAAAAAACACTAACAACACCAGAAATGATCCAAAAAGTATAGGCAAAAATCGATCGAAATTCGGATCGCAGTGGTAAAAAAATGGTTCGTGAGCTGAACATATCACAAAAACGGATGCAACACATATTGAGAAATGAGCTTGGACTAAAGCCACTGAAGTTCCAAAAAGTGCAAGAGCTCATCGATGCACAGAAAAAAGTTAGACGGGAAGGAGCCAAGGGGTTGCTTCGCTTGCACGAAAGTGGCTAGTTACCGAATTTGGTTTTCTCAGATGGTAAGACATTCCAAATCGAGCAGTTTGTGAACGAACAAAATGATAGGGTTTACTTGCCAAAAAGGTCAGCTAACAATTTACACCTTCGATTGGCCACCAAAACTCAAGCGCCGCCGACGGTAACGGTGTGAATCACCGTAACGGCCGATGGTGACATTCCGCTCTTATTCATCGACCGTGGATCAAAATAATTGCCGAAATTATCGGGAAAATGTTTTAAAGGCAGTATTGAAGTCCTGGGTATTTAAAAATTTTGGCCGCAGACCATGAACAATCCAACAGGACTCACCACCATCAAACTCAGCACGCGTCAACCGAAAATGGCTTAAAAAAGAGGTTTTTTTGCTTCATTTCCATTGCACAATAGCCACCAAAATCTCTGGATCTAAATTCGTTGGACTTTTGTGCCTTGGACATTTTGGAGAGTAAGGTTCACACTAAAAAATACCAAAGTGTCGATCATCCCAAGAAGGCGCCTCGCCGGGAATGAGCCAAAGTACCCCAGAGCCACTTTCGTGCAGCTCGTTATGGTTTTTCTGCCGTTTGAAGGCCATAATTCGTGCCAAAGGTGGCAAATTAGAACACATCTCAACTGATTCTAAAATTTGATGTCATTTCCGACATTTTTGCTTTTGAACAATGAAATATAAAATGAAAATGACAAAGTTATATCGCTTTACTTTGTTGCATTACATATCAGCCACCCTGTATATGTGTGTTTGTGCAATATAATTAGATAAATCGATCGATATCATGTGATTATCTATTTCTTGAGGAATCTGCATTGTAATCCTCTAACGACGTATTTAGAGCTCTATCTTTATTTGTTTTTGATATATAAAATCGTGTCAAGCAAACACTTAAACAAAAGATTTAATATAATAACAGGGCTTGTAAGAATTATGATCCTTTTTGGTACAAAATTCTAATCAGCGAAATTTTACAGCGGTCCTTTCTTCTGTGCCATTTGGGTGTTGCATGATACATTTCTACCAACTTATGTTACGATCGCGCTATGTCAAGATTTATTTTTGGCAGCATTATTTTTATAACACGCAAATGATTTTGAAGTATTTTTTTCACTTATCTGTAGCATAGGTTCTCAATATATCAATGCTATGAATTGTTAGAATCGTTCGATTTATATTAATTTACTGTGAAAATCTAATTAATCATCATAATAATTTTAAAATAATTCGATTTATTTATGAATATGTGTTTTTGAATTTATTATGAGGAATGAAACAGAGGTTTATTTATTCATAAATTCAAAGCATATCTTCAGTGTAAGTCTGCATATGCTTTTTTATTCTTATATTATGAATATAGTGATCTTCATAGTTAATCTGATTTTATTTTCAGAGATGTAGTACATACTTTAACAGTTAGTTCTAAGAAATGACTCGGATCAAATTGAAAATTTGAAAGGCGCACCTTTAGGGCCAAACGCATTGTGGGAATTTGGAGGTCATATATTTAACAATCAAAAAACTTTCTATTGTCTTAACTACGCAATAGTTTCACGAAAAAAAATCTAAAACCTTTACTCTGTAAATGTTTTGAGAATACCTAATATTTATTACTAATTGTAAGCTATGCATACTCAGGTTCATAAAATTATGCACTGTAATTATGTAGTGTAATTATTTATGTACTACTTTTTGCAGAAGACGCAAATGGTCAGGTCTCATATATATCTAGTTATATTCTCTAGTTTTTAAGAAAGTTAGGAAGCCCCATCGACACAAAAACTTTTTTTTAAATATTGTTCTAGTAAGATACAACTGAAATCTACTCAATGTTTTAGTGATAACTAATGAAATAAATTAAAAACAAAAATATAATTAATTATTAGATGTTTTCTCCTTATGACTAACTATTTTTTAATTCGACCTGCTTCAATTTAGTGCAGCTTTAATGAATATAGATATATTAAGTTTTTATTAATTTTGAATACGTTGACTTTACACGTACAGTTATCAATGGCAATGGTTAAAATTGAAGTCTCTATTTTTTCTGCTCTGTCTACTTTTTATCTGATACTGACAATGGAAACCTTAGGCTTACTCCCTGGGATTTTGTTAAAGAGAACCCTTTAAAATATTATAGTCGTATGAGAAATTTTGACTATCAACTTTATCACCATGCGAAATTTCATTAAAATTCCAGAAGAGTAAACCTGAGAACCTCGTGAATATAAAAGTATCCTGAAGCGTTTATACAATAATTATGCTAAAATGTTTCTTTCAAAATTTAATTACAATAACTAATACGTAATGTTGTCTAACAACATAATACTATACTATAGTATCAGCAACCCAGTACAATTTTAAATTGCAAACGACAGAAAAATTATTGACTATACTTAGGGTAAATTATAATATCAGAAAAAAATAGAAAACTAGCGGTGCATGGCATCGCGCCAAATTGCTGAAACTTTCTATACCCAAAATTATTTTTTTTAAAAAGATTCAAAATTATTTTAAAACTTTGAAAAAATTAGATTTAGAATTTTTGAAATAATTCGACTTTTTTGAAAAATTTGATTTTTTTATATTTTGAAATATTTTTTTTCAAAGCAATCGCGCTGCGTACAGATGAAATATAGTAAATTCCGCCTTAAAGTCTAACGGATAAATATTGATACGGAACTCGAAGAAATGTAAACAAAATTTGTTCTTATTATTAAAATTTCTAAAAAATATCTGATAATTTGATGTGCATATGTCTAATGATCATTTTTGACTGCCGAATGGAATTTGTTTTTCACTTTTTTATGGAATCTCCCAAACGGCTAGATCTGCCTCCCCAAAAATTTTATCAGTTCTTCATTTCGTCAATAAAAATATAATATTTTTTTGAATCATTCACATCGGACGCTCCGTTATCTCAAAGGCTAAAATAGCATATTTGGCCCTTTTTGCCCCGTATCTTCGAAACCCCTAGACCTGCTTTTCCGATAAACTAATCAGCACGTCAATACGAACCGAGTGTTATTTGAATTACTCAAATCGATTCACGAAACCGCGACGCTAGAACAGCTACGCAGCGCGATTGCTTTAAAAAAAGTTCAAGATTTTTTAAAAAAAATCAAGATACAATAGAAAAATCTAATTTGTTTAAAGCTTAATTATCGAAACAGGAAGTTCCAGTAATTTGCCTTAAGAAACGATTCCACGCACCACCAGTTTTTGAAAGTTTTTGGCTGATATAAGTGAGTTATAAAAAATATAGTTAACTTACAGAAAAGATAGCATTGGCCTACTGCCAATAACTAATTAACTTCCCGTAGGGCAAGTTATAGTAATCGCAAAAAAATCGAAAATGAAAATTTTTATATATCTTTACGTTTCAGAGGTTTCTGAATATTTTGGCATACCTAAGAAAAAATGGATGTATGTGTGTGTGTGTGTGTGCGTGTGTGTGTGTGTGCGTGTGTGCGTGTGTGTGTGTGTATGTATGTACGTGTGTGTATGTATGTGCGGATACAAATTTTCGTCGACGATTTCGGGAACACGGATCAACCGATTTGAATAATTCAAAAAACATTCGATTCGTATTGATAAGAAGACGTGCTGATTAGTTTTTGGCGAAGGCAGGTCTAGCCGTTCCGAAGATACGGGGCAAAAAGTGCCGAAAACGGTAACTCAGTTTTTAAGAGAACGGAGCGTCCGATTTAAATAATTCAAAAAACATTTCACTTGTATTGACAAGATGAAGAATCGATACAATTTTCATAAAGGTAGGTCTAGCGGTTTCGGAGATATGGAGGAAAAAGTAAAAAAATGAGCCATTTGGCGGTCAAAAATGATCATTAGACATATGCACATCAAATTATCAGATATTTTATAGAGATTTTAACAATAAGTATACATTTTGTTAACATTCCTATGGGTTCCGTACCAATGCTTATGCGTTAGACAGCGACGCGGCGCTTACGCGCTTTATATTTTGTTCCTATGCAGTTAAATCAGTACGATTGCTTTGAAAAAAAAAGTTCAGATCTTCCACAATATGTCAAAATAAAGAAAAAAAATTTTTTTTTCAAAAAAAAAAATTAAAAAAAAATTTGTTTTTTCAAAAAAAAGTAATTTTTTGTCCATATATATAGTTTCTCAAAAATCTTATTTTTTCAAAGTACATTTTTTTCAAAAATGTTAATCGTTTTTAAAAAATTAATAATTTTTGGTACGGGAAGTTTCAGCAATTTGCCTTAAGGCACGATGCCTTAATTGCCTTAAGACAGAATTCCACTTACAGCTAGTTGTAAACTCAATCTACCTTAAAAATGAAGGTACGGAACCTTCATCTGACATTCGCATATGTTTTATTTTCTTGTATATTCTTTTCAGGCCTCGCGCAATTCGATGGGAACCGAATCGAGCAGTCGCATCGCAAACCTTTGCGCGGCTGGACGCATGTGCGATGAATTTTGTAAGTTTTTTCTACATAAAATTAAAACTGATACAAAGTCAAAAGACAATAAAACATTGAAATAATCTGTTATTCTATAATTCGATATTTGTTTTGCGTTCCATTTGAGTAATTCTTATCTTTATATACTGTGACCTTATTAATGCTTTCTTGAACTGTGATGAGTACAATGTGTATTGTGCGAAACAAATTCATTCAATAGTGCCTTTATTGAATGGTGAAATCACTGTCTGTTATGTTTAAATAATTAAAATTTATTATACAGATAATATAATCAGTGCTTGTGAATTGAATTATATTAAAGTTAGAGTTTGTTGTGAAAAGATAATTAATATATATTATTAAGTGATTATTGTTATTTCTACGTAAGCTTAATATTAAACATATTAATCTAAATTATTAATGAAATAACAAAACATATATTGCGTATGTGAAATAAAATAAATAATAAATTTATTATTTATAACCTTTTATGTGTTATAGGGAAAACACGTGGAATTTGACGTTTTTTGCGTGAATCGTTACTGCAAAATAATTACTGATTTATTAAATGAATTTAATATTATATATGATTAAATTATTACACATATAAAGAATATAGTAATTACTTATATTACCGCAACAATTTCTAGTGTATTTCCTTATAACCTTCGCGTTATCGATTCACGATTCTGTTTGCGTCGTTTCACTGTATTTTACTGACAGTTATCTAATTTTCATACAAGTCATGCAATATAACTATAAAAAATATATAGAATTCCATTTCACATCACTTTATAATATTTATTGTATAGATGCACATATCCCCCGTTTTACACGAAAAACCGTGCTAAACGAAAATCACTATAAAAAGCCCTTTTTGTCAGTTTTTAATATGATTAATATCGGAATCACATTGAACAATAATAAATATTAATAATTTAATATCAAATACATTCAATAAATTATAGCTTAATTCATAGAATACAAATTAGTAACAGCTATTATTCTTTCATTATTACTACGGAGATTGTTCAAAATTTTAATTTTGATTTAATTATAACTTGTCTGTTACTTTCTAGCTCTTTATTTTTATCTTTTGCCATTGTCGAACTATGAAATTTTATATTAGTTATAGATTTTGAAATAACAATTCTGTTATTTGCCTACCTTGAACAAATTTATGCTATCAATTATATATAAACACTTATTGAAAACAAAGTTTAGAAACAATAATGCTCTTTGTTTTGGTATTTCAAACAAACTAGCTTATACTCACATAAAATTTAGTTTTGATCATAAAACGGCGAGTTCCCATCTTATCTTATATTTCCATCATAGACATGAACTACTTTGTAAGAGTTCGTAACTGTAACATACATTTTGTAGTCTTGTATTTTGACAGCAAAACAATGAAAATGTTTTAAGAAAAAAATTATAGTTTATAATTTCGTGTAAATGCAAAATACCGTGTAAAAGGGGGCAATAGGTGTATATTTGTCGTTGAATTTTAAAAATATAATTTGAAAATTATTTGAAAACCAAAAATGTTTACGCATAACACAATAATTCGTTGAAAATTACTTTTTCATCCACTAAAAATAATTATTTAACATTATTTGTTATAAATAACATAGTGTAGAGTCTAGTCTATTTCCAATAAAACCATTTCAATTTATATTTTATATATTTTACGGATACAATAAAAAGTTAATTAAAATAGAGCCACCAATGTTTTAATATCTTTCCGAATTGATGAGGTTGAAAGTTGAAAATTCAGAAGACTTAAATAAATGCCCCAAATAAATGCTTATTTCAATAGTTTTCGGTTCTCAATTTTTTGATAAATTTAAAAGTAAATCTCTATTGCATGCAGTCTTTTCGATATGATGAAAGATTTAGCCGAGAATAACAATAATAATTGCGATGTTATGTGTCCAATTAAGTTCAGATTTTTCATTGTCGTCTGCTGACTCTTGATTTCTTATAAAATAAATATTTTCAACGTCTACACATAATTTATTAGTTTAGATAAATTTATTTAAAAAAAGTATACTTTTTACCCGAAAAACTCATTATTAAAGCTAATAAAAATATTAATATTTTATTTAATATTTTACTTTAGTATATTATTATCATTATATCTAATACTTTACATTTATAATTCGAAGGTAATTTCATGAAAATAATGATGCTATCATATTTGAAGCACGTGCTTTTTGAATTCCTTTCAGGTTTCTATGACAGAAAATTCTCTCTGTATTTGAATCATCACTTATTCAACTTTTAATTTCCTCATCAAACAATCAATCAATTCTGAAACATATGTGATAAACAAAACGGGATAAGATTTTTTAATTAAAAATTATTTAAATTAAACTTATGTTTAATATATTTTAATTTTAAATTAACTTGTTATGTGCATGTCCAAAAGACAAAAATTTAGAGAACGTTTCGAGTGCAAAACTTAATTTTATTCTCTATTTATTTCAGCGTAAAGATGATGAGTGATTATGTTAAATGATTTTTATATTTGTTTCCTCTAAATGATTATTTGTTTTCCTAATTAGCAAGTTTGATTTAACTCATTGTGTGAAATAGTGATGTTTAAAATAATTTTGGCCATACACCAGAAGTTATCTCTGAACTAAAAACAAAAAATAAAAACATTTTAATTTTGTGCTATGTGTAATTCAACATGGGGTCTTCATTAGGATGTACAAGAAAGGTAAAGTTTTTAAATATTTATTAATAATGATTCATTTTAAATTTAGAGATTTTTAATTTCCCGATTTATGTTTTCGCAAAAAAATCCGATTTGCTAATTTTATGTTTTCTCGATGTTTCAAGTCATTCTGGAGACCAAATTTGGAAAAAGTATAAGTATAAGTAAGTCTGTGTGTGTATGTATATGAGCCAATATTTGACATTCAGTCGACGTTATTTCAAAAACAGCTGCACCGATATTAAAAATTTAAAGGCCATTCGGTATAACTGAATAAGGACTAGCGTTTATTAGTTTTGTACGACGAGCGGCTGAGCCATTTCTTTATAATAAGCAGAAAAGTGTAAAATCTTTTATCAACGTTTTTAGCCCGTAACCTTTTAAAAAGTTGAAAAATGTTCAAAAGATATCGATTGGGAATCGGTTGGGAAGGTTTTTGGCTGTTTTTCGTAATTATGTATTGATATTTTTTTTAAGACAATGTTACAGTATTTATATTAATGTAATTTATTTGAAAACATTTAATATTCCTCAAATATTTCGTTACGGCACGGGAAAATCCAGCAATTTTCCTTAAGGTACGATGCCATATACTACTAGTTTCATTTTGGTGTTAATGTTCTTAATGTCTAACAAATATATTACTATAGTGCACATTAGGGCGGGTCGATTTAGGGGTCGAAGAAACCACACCTTTAAAATGAATTCTAATGTCTCGTGCATTGACTCAAAGATAAGAGTTAAATCTTGAAAAAACCTCTCAGGAGTCCCAGGGGGTGAAGAACCATGGGCATGGTTGAATTGACCTTTCAAAGTTAGTGGGGTTCGATCGTACATTTGGACGCAATTGGGGCACTCTTTTAGCCCTTATTTTTAGGTCAATACATGGGATATCATTTTAGAGGTATGGTTTCTTAAGCAAAGTATCTTAGTTTGAGCCCTAGTATCCGAAAATCATATGTGCCTTAACGACTTTTTTTGGCCCATAAAAATCGACCCGCACTAGTGCACATCCTCCTGGAGTAAGTGTTTTAGATTAGTAATGTTAATTACCTAAATTATTATAAACTACTTTTTTACAATTAATTAATTATTGCAGCAGTTGCAAATAGTACACCAAAGTATGTCAAATATATACTTGTAGATTGGTAAATATGAAAAATAAAATGCGTTCTGAAATTAAAAGCTGTCTTAAAAGAATTGATTAGGTAATATTTTATGTACTGAATCAGGTTAAGTTAGAGTTCCTTTATATTTGGTGAATAGAATAAAGATGATGATGATCATGAATAATAAAGTATAAGAAAAGAAACGAAACGTTCGAGTCTTCTAATAATACATCTCCCCTAGTTCGTTCGCGTTTTCAAATATTTTGAATCCGCGTAGATGTAAGACCTCGGACGTCGTTCAACTCGTACGTTAATCGGTCGCGCTCCGTCGCACACCTTTTTTTTTAAACAAAGGGCGAAAAGAAATGTCGCTATAGTTTCTTTTACAAAATGTATTCATTGTTGGTATATATTTATATACTCAACTAGTGGTTCATGGCATCGAAAATTAATATTTTTATAAAATCTTTAAAGCTCTTTGCAAACTGAACTAGTGGGGCGCATGGCATTGTGCCTTAAGGCAAACTGCTGGAACTTCCCGTACCAAAAATTATTATTATTTTAAAAAGATTAACATTGTTGAAAAAAAATTACTTAGATCAAATTAGATTTTTAAGAAACTATAAATTTGATAAAAAATTAATTTTTTGTGAAAAAAAATTTTTTTGAAAAAAAATGTTTTCTTTATTTTGACATATTTTGGAAATTCTGAACTTTTTTTCAAAGCAATCGTACTGCTTTAACTGCATAGAGACGAAATGTCAAAGTGCGTAAGCGCCGCATTGCCGTCTAACGGATAAACATTGGTACGGAACCCATAGGAATGTAAACAAAATTTATACTTATTATTAAAATCTCTGTAAAATATCTGACGATTTGATGTGCATATGTCTAATGATCATTTTTGACCGCCAAATGGCATTTTTTTTACTTTTTTTACTAGATCTCCGAAACCGCTAGACCTGCCTTCATGAAAATTTGATCAATTCTTCATCTTGTCAATATAAGTAAAATGTTTTTTGAATTATTCAAATCGGACGCTCCGTTCTCTTAAAAACTGAGTTATCGTTTTTGGCACTTTTTGCCCCATATCTTTGGAACGGCGAGACCTGCCTTCGCCAAAAACTAATCAGCACGTCTCCTTATTAATATGAATCGAATTCTTTTTGAATTATTCAAATCGCTTCATCCGTGTTCCCGAAATCGTCGACGAAAATTTGTATCCGCACACACATACATACACGCACACACACACACACACACACATACATCCATTTTTTTCTAAGGTATGTCAAAATGTTCAGAAGATTTTGAAACGTAAAGATATATAAAAATTTTCATTTTCCATTTTTTTGCGATTACTATAACTTGCCCTACGGGAAGTTAAAAATTAGATATTTGAAATTTTTAAAAGCAATCGTAATTTAAAAGCTGCGTAGTTATTTTAGGGATAATATTTCGAAGCGCGTATTAAGATCTCTATAAAATATCAGGTAATTTGATGTGCATATGTCTAATGATTATTTTTGGCCGCCAACTGGCATTTTTATACTTTTTTATTAGATCTCCAAAACCGCTGACCTCCAAAAAATTGATCAGTTCTTCTTTTCTTCAACACATAAAATGTTTTTCGAATCATTCAAATCGGACACCCCGTTATTTCAAAAATTGAATTAACAAATCAGCCAAAACCTAATCAGCACGTCTCCCCACGAATACTAATCAAATGTTTTTTGAATTATCGAAATGGGTTGATCCGTGTTCCCGAAGTTGTCGACAAAATTTTGTATCCGAACACACACACAGACACACACATATAGATCGATTTTTTCCAAGGTATGTCAAAATGTTCAGAAACCTTTGTAATATTACGTAACATTATAACATGCATGTTAAATGATTGGATTGAGAATACATAATTTACAATAGTTAAGAGAGTTAAGAGTATAAGCTATAAATATATACATGTCCGCCCTCAGCGTCCGCATCCATTTTTTTAACAGCGCCCCCGGCCCTCCCTGTTATTTTGACTGTTTAAACAACTTATCATTAAAATTATATAATCATTTACGATATTTTTTTTAAATACTTTTTAATAATTCTGGATTTAATACACAAAAAATAGTTATAATCTAAAAGCATTGATTGATCAAATGCATTGATTTAAAATTTAGTTAGAAGATGAAGGCGATTCGCGGGTGCTCACAATCAAATTGTTGTGTCTTCTATCGTTGTCGCCCTAACAAACTATTTTGGAATTCTTATTTTCAATCCAAACTTTTTAGGACTTCCAAAAGTTCAGTGTGTTTATTATTGCTTGCAAGAATATTTTCAAATATCCAATTATTTCTAACGCATGTATGATATTAATATTTGGGTTTTGAAATATTTTACTTATTTATTTTGGGGATTTTATTACATTTATTCTATCGAGCAAATCATTGAGGGCAAAAAATTCTAGCCTTTTGTTTTTTAATGTTGGATTAAATAAATTTAATTTTTCATTATTTAAAATTTCCGAAAGTAAGGTCCGAATTTATCTTTACTTTCCCATCGTGTATCAGAAGTTAAATTTTAAACGAATTTTAAAAATATTGTCCAAAGATTAGTAAAAGATGCAGAAAAATTATATATTTCTTGAATGATATTGAAAAAACTATATTATAAATTTCATATCCGAATCTCGTGTTGGCGCCCCCTAAGGTTTGCGCCCGCATTTTTCGCATGCATCGCATTCATTCATATATATATACAGTAAAACCCAGTTAAGAAGATTACCTAGAATGAAGCCAAAAGTACATCCTAAGCAAGAAAGCATATTATGCGGGATCAATTTTGATGATACTTATAATTAATATATATGTGTATATTTTTTAAACTTTGTATTATTTTATCATATAATTTTCAGAACAGATATTTTCAAGCACCTGGTCCGCGTTTGCCATCAACACCTGTCTCGAATTATACATTAAAGCATCTTGATCCAAATTATTGCCAACTGATCGATTAATTTTTTATTCCAAATACTTTGACTAATTTTGATTTTAACAATAACTGATAAAAAAATAAGGACATTGTATATATATAATATTACTTTTTTAATAAAAAAAACTCTGGATTACAAATTTGCCTAATTTTGAATTAGTTTAAGTTTATTTGATAGTTTATAGCATTTGCACAAATTTTCAATTACATGTATTTTTTTAATCGTGTATTTTGTTAAAGGGTAAAGAGATTTAAATTAACTGCTTAGAACTTCCCTATATGTGCAAATAAACGACTTAATCAATACAAAATAAATTAATTTATGAGTGATTAAAAGTATTCCGAGTGAATTCATTACACATAATTGAAAATGAACAAACAAACTCTGAGTATTTTCTAAAAGCAAATTTTCAAAAATCAATAATTTTTAATAATTGAACCACTTTCCATAGGACTTTAATGGTTTAGTATTTCATTAAGACCAAGTACTCTAGCGTTATACTAAGTAAATCATCTAATTTTAATTTTAACAGACGTCAGAAAAATTACTCATTGTCTTAAACTACTATGAATTTTTTAAATTAAACTACTTGTCGTAAAGCCGTAATATTTAAGTAAGTTCTATAAGACCATGATATATATCGCCAAAAAAAGGTCCATAAAAATCTGCTTAAATTTTTTTTCAGCAGTTAATTACAAGAAAACGGCTCGGTAAATTTTCACCTAAAATTAAGCAGTATCATTCCCAACTAATATCTTTCGAACAATGTTTGATTTTTTAAAATCGATCTGGTAGTGTGAGCTTAAATAGGGACGAAAAGTTCAACACTTCTTTCCAAATTACAAAGAAACGGCTTGGCAGTTTACGGCAAAAATCTGTTCACATATACGCACACACACATATTTTTTTTCAAATTTGGTCTCATTCGATTCAGAATGGCTTGAAACGTCGAGAAAACATAAAATTAGCGAATCGGATTTTTTGATAAACTTCTCCTTAGGAAAGTGAATAATCTGAAATGAGCCGTTCAGTGCACACATCGATTAACTCCACTTTTAAAAAAAACTGAGATATTAGTGGGAAAGAACTTGGTATAATCATAACTTTTTATGATTATAATAATTTTCCAAAAGAATGAAAATTGCCACTGTGAAACGAAAATTTTTTTTGACCTCTGAATCCATAAGTCATTTATTTCAGAAGACATTTTGATTAACTCCATTCTGTAGTGTATATGTTCTGGTTGGGTTGGATTTCGGGTTTCAAATTCATGAATTACGAATAAGAACACAGAACTGTAGGGTGTTGTGGGTCTCGAACATCGGTAACATCGAAGACGTTACAAACTTTGAAAAAATAACATACTAAAATTCGTGTACCCGGCAAAACAAGAATATTAAAACTGCCTGAAGTTTATTGAAACTTGTTCAAAGTACGGAAATAAGAGCTAACTTAATTAAAAATAAATTTCTGGTCGGTGAAAATAGTTATTAATCTATTAACTCAAGATTTTGTTATTATTGAGTCACGTGCGAAAAAAAATCGAGAGATAATTTTACCAGATAGTTGATACAATATAATAAAAAAACATTTAAGAAAAAAGCGCCATTGTAGCTAAGCCGAATGCTTCGCTAAGGTTTTTTATCTATTTTTTATTTATTTAGAACAATAAATCAATAACAGAAAAGTAACCATCACAGGGTGTCCAGAAAATTGGCCTAAAATGCGCTGAATTTAGAATAGAAAGGTCCAAACCCAACGATATACAATTTAAGTGTGACTGCAATGAAGATCCGAAAATAAAAAAAAAGTTTAAAGTTTAAAAAAAGTTGAAAACTTGATTAACTCCACAAGTCATATCAAAACTTTAACTTTAATGATAATAATTATTTTCTCACTATTAATAGTTATAAATCTTATATACCGTTACATGTAAGCTATATATGCATTTATACGTTCTAAAATATATTTTTCATTTTTAAAATCAATATACATTACTTTATCGCTTTTCTCCACTTTCTGACTTTCGGATTTAGCAGATGTGTGCACTGAACGGCATAAATATCAACAACAAGAGCTTTATTGTCAAATATTCCATTTAAATATGTGATTCCCTACGTATTTCTTGTAACTTTCCAAATGGTCCAAAAGTTATTACAAAGAGTGTTAAATGCCTTTTGATGCCTTCTACGTCGCATAAAAGGTTTCTTTTTATGGTCAAATATACGTTACTGAGTAAATAGAAGTCGCAGTCTAATTGAAATAACTTTTGCTGAACTGAATGCATATATAATTATTGAAATCGAAAAGAGTTATACCATTCCAACGCACGCAGGCGGCTGGCTTTTGGGGCGGCCGAGTGGCGGCCAAATAAAAAAAACAAATTTAAAGGCGGTTATAATGAAAAGCGGCCGTAATAAAAAGCGGTCGCGCTGAAAGTCCACTGATTTAAAAGGCGGCCAAATTGAAAGACTGGATTAAGAGGCGGCCAAACTAAAAGTCCGCTGAATTCATTCGCGGCCGTATTGAAAATCCGCTGAGTTAAAAGACGACCGTAGTCAAAATCAGCCGAAGGCAGCCGTATTGAAAGCGAGATCGAATTAAAAAGCAGCTACAGAAGGCTTTGTTTCCAAATCATTAACTAGCTGTAAGTGGAATTCTGTCTCAAGGCATTTAAGACATCGTGCCTTAAGGCAAATTGCTGGAACTTCCCGTACCAAAAATTATAATTTTTTAAAAAACAATTAACAGTTTTGAAAAAATTTTACTTCGAAAAAATTTTTTTTTTTTTGAAAACAAAATTTTTTGGAAAAGAAAATGTTTTCTTCATTTTGACATATTTTGGAAATTCTGAACTATTTTCAGAGCAATCGTATTGCTTGAACGAAATGTCAAAGCGCGCAAGTGCCGCGCCGCCGTCTAACGCATAAGCATTGGTACGGAACCTATAGAAATGTAAAAAAATATTATACTTATTGTTAAAATCTCTATAAAATATCTGATAATTTGATGTGCATATGTCTAATGATCATTTTTAACCGCCAGATGGCATTCTTTTTTACTTTTTTCATTAGATCTCCGAAGCCGCTAGACCTGCCTTCTTGAAAATTTGATCAGTCCTTTATCTTGTCAATACAAGTAAAATGTTTTTTGAATTATTCAAATCGGACGCTCCGTTCTCTTAAAAACTGAGTTACCGTTTTCGGCACTTTTTTCCCCGTATCTTCGGAACGGCTAGACCTGCCTTCGCCAAAAGCTAAGCAGCACGTCTCCTTATCAATACGAATCGAATGTTTTTTGAATTATTCAAATCGGTTGATCCGCGTTCCCGAAACACACACACACACATACATCCATTTTTTCTAAGGTATGCCGAAATATTCAGAAACCTCTGAAACATAAAGATATATAAAAATTTTCATTTTCGATTTTTTTGCGATTACTATAACTTGCCCTACGGGAAGTTAAAAATATATTAATTCATGAGTGCATTGCAATGTGAAAAACTCGCAGATTATTCAATTTTGTACAAATTTTCGAAACATGTTAGTTATTTTTTACAAATGGTTTAAAAATTAAATATTATTGAACAAGAAATAAACGCGTAGTTTGTTCATTAAGATCAGGATCCAAAATCGCCAAACAATCAGCAAGATTCTCAAATACTACCTTTGTAATGGTTTTTGAATTTTAAAAATCACGAATTTAGGCTATAACGTGGACGAAAAATTTGACACTTTTGACAATTCTAAAGAAACGGATCGGCCGATCGTGAGGAAAAATTAAATTTCAAATAGTATTGCGCATTTTTTAAAAAATGCCAACTAAAGATAAAACTTTGCCTCACGTAAAAAAGTGCTGCTCATTTCAAACTTTGATAATATGTTGAGAATTAAAATGACTTGTCGTAAGGTCGAGATATTTAGTAATATTTGAGATCATGATCTCTATCGCCAAAAAGTTTTATAAATATCGTCGTAAAAATATTTAACAATTAAAGAAACGATCCGAACAATCTCTTAAAACTAATCGGCACGATTCCCAAATCATATCTTTCAAACAGTTTCTGAATGATTAAAAACGATGCAAGATTTTTGGCTAAAACGTGTACGAAAATTTGTACACTTTTTTGTTGATTAGAAACGGCTTGACCGATTGTTACATAAAACTCACAGACGGTAGTTACATTAAATGACATTTAAATTTTTGAAATCGATGTAACCGTTTTTCAGAGAAAACGTTGGCAAAAAGTCAAAAATCGGCTCATATACACACTTTTTTCTTTAAATTTAGTCTCAAACGATTCAGAATGACTAAAAACATAAAGAAAACATACAAATTATAAATCGAATTTATTTGATTTATTTGAACATATTTGATATTTTCTTATTATGTTATTTTCAAGGGCGTCTAAAAAATGGTCGCACGCAGGCGGCCACATACCCAGGCAATATATATATATATATATATATATATATATATATATGTATGTATGTATATATGTATATAAGTTATATAAAATAACTAATACGACACAGGTTTTGTTTATTTTTGACGCATCCGGTACTTTTAGGTAGGATGTAGGAAACTGTTATTTTTTTGCCAATGTTTGGGACTGATTATTGATTTCCTGATTACATACTTTCAACAAATGCTTTTTTTAAGAAAAGTGTTCTACAGATTTCTCTAATATAAATATGAAATTCTTCTTATTACAGAACGTATCAAGGAATGAAGCGTCTTCCAGTAGTTGTCGTCTGCCTCGTTGTATTTGTGGATGTGACCAACTCTCGAGGCAGGATATCGACAGGTTCACGGATCGTCTCGAAAATGTTTTAAATTCTCGCAATGGAACCGAAGTCTTTCTAAAATATCTCAGGCATAACAATTTTGGAGAATCAGTTAAGTGCGTCGAATTCTGGCGGCTTTGTAATGAATATCGCATGGCTGAGCCAGGAGAAAAACCAAAGATTTTGATGGATATACAACAAGCTGCACAGGATGTAGATGAACTGGACTTTGTTGCAGTCGAAAGACTAAATAACTGTGTCGAACAGGGAGTTGTGGAAGAGACAAACAATTGTATTATCTATTTACAAACGACTGTAATACATTTACTGAGGCAGGATTATGATAAATTTAGAGATTATTTGCTCAAAAAAATAAATAGGTGACCCCTTTCGAGATTGTCTATATAAAGAGATTTTTAAGAACTAAACAAGTGATAACCGAGTTCAAGCTGCCTTCAATTTCAATTTAAGCAAATATGCTTAAAAATATATGTGCTACTTATTTATAGTAAATATACATACTTACATAAAAAATTATCTAGTCTTGTTTTGTAATTTTGTATTATCTGCTAAAGTAGCAAGTCTAAAATAATATAGCAAAACCAAGCAATTGCCGTTTTTATACAATCACGCTAGGAAATGGTAAAATATAAATATACTTAAAATTGAAAATATAAATTAACCTAAATTATATAGAAGTAAAAGGTATTGTTATTAATGGCATGAATGTCAAAAATTGGAATGAATATAAATCTACTACGAATAATTAATAATAAAGTTTGTTGAGGCTGTATAAAATGTTAATTGTTTTTTTTTGCAAGAAGATAATTCCCAAAAATATATTAGAACACTTGTATTGTTGACGTAAGTGCTTTTCTAATTTTATGCAAAAGAAACTAGTTAATTAAATATTGTGATGAATTTTTTATCGTACCAAGAATGTCCTAAAATGTACAATGCATTATTTGTTTAAAAAAATTATGTAATATTATATGACAGAATCAGATGATAGATATTAGGTTGTCAAATATCTAATCAATATAATTCGTTCCAATGTTAGAAACTTGCAAGGTAAATTTATAAAGAGCTCAGTTGAATATTGATGAAATACATATTATTTAATTAAATGCAAAATGTTCTTAATTCTAAAATATAGGTTTCATGCATGTGAATTTCACGATTATTGTGAACTTGATATTGACAAAAAAAAACTACTTACCCATTGGTCTATTTCAAAATGAGTTGCTTTAAGACCTATTTATGAGTACCATAAACACTTGTCAAATTCACTTATGATTATAATAAATAAGAAAACCTTGTTGAAAATGTGACTATTTCATATTCAGTTATATTATACATCTTAAAAATTTACAATAGACTAAATTACTTTGACATGTTCATATTTACTTACAGACTATTGACATTAAATATTCCTTCAGGCTTACAGAGGCGTCGCCGGTTTAGTACGGTTAGACGAAAAACTATAATTTTAATAGCTTCAAATTTATTTAATCTACCTTTACAACCAGTAATTAAACCTTGACAAAAGTTCTTGAACCATTTTTTTTTTTTGATTTAATTAATTTTTTTAATAAACTTACAAATCTCTAAAGTTGCGCAAATACCATATTAATATATTTAGTAAACGACCATTCTGTATATAACATGGAGATGATGAAGAATATTTCCAGTTCTTACACAAAAAAATTAGTTACGGGGTCATAACGCACTTTGGCGGTACATTCAAATTATAGCATAAAAAAATTAATGATAGAGAGACTAGATGCTATTAAATCTATAGGAGAATAAATTAAATTATTAATTTAGATTACTATATAATTACATATTATCTACATTTAAGAGATGAGAATACTATCATTCAAAAATAAACAGATATAGTGCTTAGTTAATAAGATATTAAAACAAAAAAAAATTTTATTAAAACTATCCAGCAGCGCTTTAAATACTAATATAAATGTTTCATAAAAATACAAAACACTAAGGCAGGGTTTGAACATGTACACAGATCTTATTTCATCATTGTGTAAAATACAATTACATATGCATATATAATTGTTTAAAGATTCATATGAAATATTTTGTAAAATCATATATCCTAAAAAAAAAAAAAAAAGTATTTTACTACGAAAGAGTGTTTTTTGCCTTTCCGCACTAAACTAACAACTTCCATAATTTTATAAAAGAGAAAACAATGTTTTAAAGAGTTTTTTTTCATATTTCATTTTATCTATTAGACAATGGTCTCAACAATTTTTTTTCGTATATAAACAAATTGAATCTTCAAAAGAGAATATCATACAATAAATTTGTTGTGCATTTCATATCATAACCTTAACACAAACACTTAAAGTATAGTTAGCTTCATATTATTAATTTAAGAGTTTATTTCATTGGTGTTTTAGAAAAACAATTTAATCAACATATTTTATCAAAGAAGATTGTATCCAATTTGAAATGTACTCTTTTTTTACTATTCAAAATGAAGTTATAATTACAACAAATACCTTTTTTAAGCTATAAAAGTTTTACTGTATCAGAACAATGAAATGTTTTTTATTTATATTATTTTCTTAAAAATTGTAAAAAAGTGTACATTTCAAATTCGACCAACAATAAATCGAGTAAATAAAAAACAGAGCTCATTACTAAAAAGAAAAAAAAACACACAACCATACTTAAATTTAAATCAAGTCTTTTTATAATAAAAACATTCTAAAATAGGCTTTTTTAGATTAAATAATTTTAAATATACAAGATAACTTCATATAAATATAATAACAAATTTCAAATGGTATTCACCACAAATTTGGACTATGTACGTATGTATACATATGTTTTCAAGTATACTTATACAATTTCCACATTATATGTGTTAATACATACATATTGATAAAAATTATATATATATATATATATATATATACATATATATAATTTTTATCCATGTAATATTCAGGAACACCTTATCCATAAGCACATTAAAATGTCTAAATGTCTGTCGAGAGAACAAATAACACTTTTTTAATTTCATTTTTATAATAAAACTGTAATAAAAGAAAAACAAATATTGGATACTAAACCACAAACTCAGTAACTTGAAAGCTCAAGCACTTCACAGTCACGACTTGCCTTAGGCACTATTAATTTAGTTTCATTTCACATTAGTTTTTAAATGTTGTAAGAATTCATAGTATGATAATGAATTTTCCATTCTATCATCCACAAGTTTCTCAGTAAACATATTTTTATATGGTCCATTATCCCTGAAAAAAATAAAATGTTGGTTTAGTTACTTCAAGTTGACCAAGTATAATATAAAAAGAAAGTAAATATACCAAAGCAAATAGAGTTTATAAGGCAATTGAATCAAATTATTTTTATATCAATAAATGAAAATTGTTTAAAAACTTATACAAAGTATATTTTATATGAAAAGTTTTTATTTGGGCCTAGCAACTTTTGATACTACTCAACTTTACCCATTGATAATGAATCAAAAATTGAATATTACCTAATAATATTAAGAACTGCAGCATATGGCTTTTCATCATTCAATGATTTTATGAAAGCATGGATGGCCTCATTTTGCTTAGTAGATATCACTGGCAGTTCATGTGAAATATCTTGAATTTCCATGATACTAGGTACACCAAATGCAGTCCTTAAGAAGTTTGGAGAGCAATTACTACCCACATAAATAAAAATAATTGGACCGGAATCCAAAAGAAATACGCCATTTGAATCCAATCTGAAATACAAATAAGATATAAAAAAATATATGTATAAAAAGCAATGATGGTTAAATAAAAGCCAATTCCAAATTCTCACTTTTCTGCTGTTAATTGTAGTCTAGGCAGTGTAGGAACTTCTTTTTCCAAATCATAGTTATCAATTTCATTCAGATAATGCAGTGGATAAAAATTAGGATAAATTTGTTTGATTAGTTGGTCCAAAGGCAGAGATTTCATTTCACACATTGCAAAGATTCTGTCATCCAACCTCGTACTAGTTCCTACTCTAAATGCAACCTTGACCACGAAATTAACAAAAATTAGAATGTAATACTTCTGTAATACATGAAAAATAAATTGACACTATTTATTATACATACATGTTTCATCAGTGCGTGTATATAAAGTGGCAATAGTTTGAGTCCTTCTGGCACACAAAGGCTATGTGATTGATAACCATTTGGTAAGTTTTGTGTAGCTCGGAATGCTCCTAATGCGTCCACACAAACATTAATAAAAGCATCACGAGCATCAGTCAAGCTGGATTGCAGAGATCTATCAACGGCTGAAAATCATATTTATAAAATTTATTTCATATGAGACAATTTATAGCAAAAATAGCAAAAAGTAATGCCAAAATTTTATATATTTAATGTAATTATTTATGTAAAGATTACATTCATATTTACCCATTTTTGCTAATAATCCAACAATGCATTGTGCATCTGCACCAAACATAATTTCACTCAAACTGGAACTAACTGGTAAGCAAAGCGTGTGTACTCTTATCCTTCGTTCCCCTATAACAAATTTATTTAGTAATGTTAACAATACTATTTTATTTTATTGTAAAGTAATAATTAATACCTTTACTAGACGTGTACAATAAAGCTGCCTGCAGACAAACAGTTTGAGCATCCTGTAAACTCTCGTCAATAGATAATTGCATACCGAAACCAGCATCAGGATTAACATTAGGCAAACTTAAAAGATCTGTAGATCTGACAAAGAAATTTCCATGGAATGTGTGTATGGACATACCCCTGAAAGAATATTAATTTATAAAATCTATTTATTATTTATTATGTACAAAAAATATTGAAAAATTAAAAATTAATTAATGTTAATCATATACAAAACTTAACCAATTGAATATATGGATCTTATTATATCCATATATAGAAATTAAAATTTTCTTTGTTGTATTCATTCCTCCATTTACCTTGTACATCGAACTCTCATAACAGCTTCAAATCCTATTTTTCTAGTGAGATAACGTGCAAACATTTTTGATAGCTGATCAGCATGTTGAGCTCTATCAGCTTTGAATAATGGTAGATGATACATGCAGCCACTGCTAAACCTACTAATTCCGGATAATGTTGCCAAATCTGAGTATTGGCTGTTCAAAAGAAATAAATCAACAGCAATTTGTTGCCCTGAACAATCGAGAGCAAGACGTTTGTAAAAATCAGTGGCTGGTCCCAAATGAGACACATGAGATGAAGATCGATCATTGGGATCCTCCCTATTTGTAATTAAATCAATTTATTATATATATATATATATATATATATATTATATTAGTATTTTTAATTAATTTTATTTTATATATTATTATTCGTATTATATACTATTGAAATAAAATTCAAAGTAAAAAAATTCTCAATTAATTATTCTGATTGTACCTTGATGTTAAAGCTCCTGGTCCAATATTTGGCAAGCATGTTTGGAAAACAGTAACCCGACCACCAGTAGCAAACTGTAAAAATGATTTATTGATATAGTGATTTGCAAAACATTACAAACTAAAGTTAATTTTTTCAGTATTATAGTTAGTTTGAGAATATTATAACTATTATTAATAAGTATACAACTATCATTCTTACTATAAGTTTATAAGCAGCTTGTAAAGCGGCACCTAAAGCTGAACCATTATCAAGATTATTTGTAAATCGATGAGGAAGTTGTGAAAGCAACTCCTTGAAAAGTGTTTTTTGTTCAAGCAGGTTAACAACAAGATTCTCTGGACATGGCAAAAACATATCTGAAATATGAAGCTAGGTTAATAACCAACAATGTAAGTAACAGAAAGATCAAAATAAAATTTGCTAATTATATATAATCTTAACAGCAATTAGGATTTTATCAGGTACAAACCTTTTACATCAATAACTGTAATCTCATGCGGTCTTGTTAGACCGTCAGCCATGTTATAGAAGTGTACTTGTGAATTAAAACATATAATTCCGACCTGCATTCTAGTATCTCCAGGTAATTCATCTAAATGGGCACTAATTTGCTTACAAACTATGTTCAAGTAACCACTTTCTACTGCTAATCGTGATGTATCCAGTAAAAATAAATAAACTGCAGGTTGAGGAGGTCTCAGCTACATGAAGAAAAAAAGTCATTATCAAAAAAATTCTTGAATGAAAGTGTTTATATCTATTATGATGCCAATAATACATGCCATGTATTCGGAAGGGGCAATAAACTCAATTGTAGCTGATTTAACTTCTGGACGTCGAGAAGGATCACCATATGATTTACTAACAGGGTCATATTGAAATTCTTCTGGTACTGAAAAATAAAAATGAATTATTAATGATGTGAAGTAATATGTTAATGATATTAAAGAAAACTTACATTCATTGACTCTATAACACAAATTGCACTTCCATTTTTTGCTATCAACAAAATAAACAAAAGGGTTGATGTAGGTGCGACAAGCTCTACATCTAACAATTGTAGAACACTGTATGACAGGCAAGTGCTGAAAAATTAAATTTAAATTGAAGATTGTTAACTAACAAACAATGATATATGAAAAACAAAAGTGAAAGATTCATATAAGGTACTATAATATACATATTGCTCACATTAAGGTCTCTAAAAGGATGAATTAGCACTCCTAAAGGAAGTCTAGATTTTTGCAATAAGTTATTTGTCTCAGGAA